TATTGTAGTTATCATTAGCACTGTTAGTATTGATAGTATCATCATTATTGTAATTATCAATAGTAATAATCTTTATTATCATTGTTATTGTCATTATTATCATTATTATTGTTGCCATTATTATTACCTTCATTTTCATTATCACTGTCATCATCATTACTATCATCATCCCTTATTCCAAATTCTTGGTTAATTGCATTACTGTTTATTCTTTTTTTTACGGTAGTAATAGACAAAGTGATAAAGATTTCAAGTTCAAAATATTCTTTACAAATTAAAACACGTTTTAAAAAATCACAAAAGAGATTTTTTGAGAGAGAGAGAGAAAGAAAGAAAGAGAGAAAGAGAAAAAGAAAGAGAGAGAATGAAAGAGAAAGAGAGAGAGGAGAGAAATGAAAGAGAAAGAGAAAAGAGAGAGTTTTAAAAAATCACAAAAGAGATTAAATAGTAAATCCAAAAGGGGAAATAAATAAATATTTGAAAATTCGCTTACGCATAGTGTTGACATAAATAGATCCCTGAAAATCGAGGTATTTTATAAACGCGTAACTATGTGACAATTTAAGTACACGCTAATTAGACCTATCTTTTAACAAACCCAAATAAATTATGATTTTTTTTTTTTTTTTCATCGTGATTACGGGATGTTACTCAATTCTAGATGAAAAAGTATATTATAGATGACTGGTATGCGCGACTCATCCTCCATAAAAAAAGGCTTATAAATATAATCAATTAGCGTAGATTCGCTGTTCCTGTGATTTGGCCAATTTGAGAGGATTTGGCTGAATACAGTATCATCGCATTTCCACAGCTGATTGCTACGTAAATCATTATATTTCCTATTTATTTTCGAGATCGTTATCGTTCTTATCAACAGCGATAGTCGTAGGTATTTTTTATGACAATAGTATTAGTAGTATCAATAAACTCTGCAGTGTGGGTAGTGATATTAATAGTAGATTTAGCGGTATAATGACTTCCCTTAATTGTTATCATCACAAACCAGCCCCGAAGTACGATGTTTCAAGCACCAATATGCTGTCGTGTCATGATTCTGCAATATACACCGACAGCGTGTGTGTTCATTTAATATTCTCTTGCAATAAAGGGTACACAGGACAGCGTGGATAACACTCAGCGCGGTGTTATTGATACAGGAGGGCTATCGGCCAACAACCGTTAAAACCGTTATTAACCGTTATTATAGTTTTGTCATGCGATAAGCAATTTGGAGGCGAGGGTCGGTTATTTTGGATAAATCTCGGGCAGTGAGTAAGTGAATCATGGTTTAGAATGCAGCATAGCGTAGAGTGAGGCAGTGCCGGGTCGTATGATGCAAGGGTGAGGCACTGTATGGGGATCACGTGTTTGTAATGGCCTTATATCTGAGGTCGTATTGTTTCGTCGATCTTTGGCAAACGAGGGATCGATAGACTTTGGTTGTTAGCGAATCGTGCTCGCGTATAATTGACCGTGGGAATTGTTTGTTGTATATGTGCTAGTGGTCAATATGCATATAAAAAAAAACATATGCACGTACGGCAGTTTTTAACGTCTTTTTTCCCCGCAAACGCTCATGCACACACACACACACACACACACACACCACACACACACACACACACACACACACACACACACACACACACACACACACACACACACACACACCACACACACCACACACACCACACACACACACACACACACACACGCACACACACAACACACACCACCCCTCTCTCCACGCACACACACACACACACACACACACACACACACACACCACACGCACACACACACACACACCACACACACACACACACACACACACACCACCACACACACACACACACACACACACACTCACACACACACACACACACACACACACACACACACACACACACTACCACACCACACAACACACACACACACACACACACACACACACACACACACACACACACACACACACACACACACACACACCACTCACACACGCACACAAACACGGTTTTGGAACATCTGCCTCTCCACACTCCGGGAATAGGATGACTCATAATACTAGGATTATCCTCTTCGACCCCTGACGTGGCTGTCTTGTGTGCGTGTGCGTGTCCGTGTGCGTGTGTGCGTGCGTGTGCGTGACTGAGTTCGCATTTCGAGGAAAAGAGAAATTGGAAGTGACTCTGGAAATTCTGCTTATTATAATATAATGGCTGATATTAATCTTATTATATATTTTTTTTCCTATTATCAGTGTTTTGATATGTTGGTGGGAATGGCGGTCTTCGAACTGATTATAGTAGTAGTACTAATTGCGCTAGTAATAGTAATAATGGCAGTAGCAATGGTAGTAATAATAACAGTAGTAATAGCAGTAGTGATAGTAGTACTAAAGTAGTAGTAATAGTACTAATAGTAGTAGTAGTAGTAGTAGTAGTAGTACTAACAGTAGTAGTAGTAGTACTAACAGTAGTAGTAGTAGTACTAA